AAGCTCCATCTCACAGGCTTTGGGCACATGGCTGGAAGGGACTAGTCCTTGGAGAGGGACATCATGCTTGGAAGGGCGGAGGGACAGCACAGGAGAGAAAGACCCTGGATGAGATGGATTGACACAGTAACTGGGGTAATATATGGGCAGGTGTATTAGAAACAGTGGGATTGGCTCAGGACAGGGCAGGGTTCAGAGCTATTGTGCATATACTCATTATGAGGTACATTTGACACGATAGCATAAAACTGCAACATAATTCAGTGTAACACATTTATTGAGCTACTTACAAGGCAATATTGTCTCAGAAGAATGCACACCAAAGCATTCCAAAGGCAGAAACAAGGCGGCTAACAGTTTGTTAGAGTTACCGAAGTCTTTACACAAGTCTCTAAAATCAAATGGCTGACAATTGAGAGAAAGTTGCTTTTTCGGATTATGGCGCCATGTGGTTTAAGTTGTTGGGTTATACAAAACAAAGCAGTCGTGTGCCAAGTCATTTTTCTGCATATAGCTTTTTTAAAAATTAATTTTAACAAAAGTTTACAGAGACTTAGGGTTTCCATTCATTTATTGTTGCACTTTTCTCCCTGCCCACCCCTCACCCATCATTCTTCTCTTTGAAAAGCAAAAGAAAAATTATTTCATTATTATGCAATCCCTCCCCCCAAGTCCACTCCACTAGGCAGCCTTCATTCTAAACTCCTGTCATGACAATAATATCTAATCATAGATCCCTTTTAAACAGTTCTCTTCATACCATGATCGGTCTCCCCATTCTACACCCCAGTGTACTGTTCGTCTGATGTCATCATAATTTAGATGGCCTTCTGATAAGACCCTTACTCTGCAGAAATCAAGATGAGCTAATGACATGCTTATCAGCTTTCAAGGTGATGGACAGTTTGTACCAGATAATGTTCAGCTAATCAGGACACACAAATGTAATCTTATCACTAAATATTGCGGTTCCTCAATCCCTGCCTCCAAGGAAAGCAATTGCTCAAGTCCTTTTGCTGTATTCCCAGGCCATGTTCATTGTCGTGTATGATGACACAGCAGCTCTGAGAAAGGAAGGTGGGCAATCTCCTCCCTCCTGATTTACAGCCTCAGAAACCCAATGGAGGGTCAGTCAGTGCTGACTCAGTAGCAGTAGGTTGAGGTGAACAGACCTTAATCAAAGTCTACTGTGTCAGTCTCTATCTTAACAATAAAATTCCAGATAAGTCAAACTCCTCTCACTTCCATTTGGCTTTTAGCTTATTATATCTTGCAGGAAATCCTCCAGAATAACCGACAGGAGAAACCTCTTTACCCCCAAACTGCTCTGTATGCACATCTATATATCGACACACAGACATAGACGTAAATCTGTGTGTGTCCTTTCTGTTTCACGCAGACTTAAGGCTCTGAAATGGCCAGCTTCAGGTATCTAGTTAACAAATCGTAACATGCTTCTGAAGTAAATCTCTCCACATGATCCACAGTTCACCAGTCCCCCAAATTTCCTTGGATCTTTGCATGCTATAGAACCCCACTAGACCAGCGGCTAAAACTGCTAACTGAAAAGCCAGCAGTTTAAACCCATTAACCGGTCCCAGGGAGGAAGATGTGGTAGTTTGCTTTGGAATGACTTCTGGCCTTGGAAACCCCATGGGGTAGCTCTCGCCTGTCCTGTAAGTGGGCTGTGAGTTGCATTTGACCCAACAGTAGTGGATTAGGTTGGTTTTGCATGCTGGCTGGTGCTCACAGAAATCACCGTATCATGTATTATGACCAGGATGGCATAGCGGCTGACTGCCATCAGCAGGAGCTAAAATAACCCACTCCAAAGTAAATGGGAGTGGATCCTACTTTTTTATTTTGTTGCCTTACCCCCTCCCGCCCTCCAGCTTGATTTCCTTGAGAAGAGGCCATTGTAAAGTCTTCAGGGTCCAGCCTGGGGAGCACCTGCTACTCTGTGCAGCTGTCTTTATGATTTGCTATTGTTCTTCTTGCAACAGTCCGTGCCTGTGGAAAGCTGAGGCAGGGCCAGGCAGGCTCTCATCAAGTGTAAGGAGTGTGTGCGTGCTTGTGGTGCATGTGTTATGTGTCTGTCTATTGGAGATGGATATGGGCAGTGGGAATGAGGGACGATTTAAAGAAACACTCTCAATTCTAAGAGGCAGAGCTGCAGATCTGCCCCCAGGCTTTGCAATGGCAACTGCAGTGCCATGAACTAAGTAGCAAAGCCCCTTCAGAGGTAGCCTGGTTATCATAGCTCCAGCTGCAGAAACTGATCATGGTCAGTTGTTGTTGTTGTTGTTGTTGTTGTTAAGTGCTGTCGAGTCACAGGCAACTCATAGCGACCCTATGAACAAAAATCCTCAACACTTGCGTGTGTGACATTCATCCTCTTTCCAGGTTCATAGGGTTTCCAGAGGCAAGCTATTACGGAAGTGGGTGCCACTCCTGCTTCCAAGCTTGTTTCAACCGGGAAGCGCCACCAAACGCTGTCCACCATGGGTAACCGTTATAGCATTTGACACATCAGTGTCACAGTGTCCAACTTCACAGCGACCACAAGTTACCTCTGTACAGCAAGTGGACACACCAGGGCTATACGACCTAGAAGAATGTTTGAACAAAAACAATGAAAAACAGGTCTTTGGCTTGGTAGCATCGCTTTTGGTCCACTAGGCCAGCTGGTCTCTGTCTGTGTTGTTGAGTGCCGTCAAGTCGTAGGCAACCTCATAGCAACCCTATGAAAGTCCTCAACACTTGCGTGGCCACTATCGTTGTTGTTGTTGTTATGTGCCATCGAGTCGTTTGCGACTTGTAGTGACCCTATGTGCAATAGCCCTAAACCCTGCTCTATCCTGTGCCAATCTCATTGCCTCTGACACACCATCCTGATTACCCCAGTCACTGAATCAATCCACCTCATAGAGGGTCTTCCCCTCCTGCGCTGTCCCTCTACTCTACCCAGCATGATGTCCCTCTCCTTGCAACATGTCCAAAGTATGTCAGACGAAGCCCCAGAATCTTTGCCTCCAAGGAGTAGCCTGGTTTAACCCTCTCTCGGATGAATCTGTTTGTTTTCTTGGCAGTCCATGGTACATTCAATACTCTTCTCCAGCACCACAGCTCAAAGACGTCAATTCTCCTTCTGTCCTCCCTAGTCATTGTCCAGCTCTTTGATGCATAACAAGTGATTGTAAAGACCATGGCCTGTATCAGGCACACCTTCGTCTCCAAAGAGACACCGTTGCTCTTGAGTACTTTAGAGAGGTCCCTAACAGCAGACTTTCCCATTGCATTAGCTTCAAAAAACAAAGGACTGCCTCAGTGGTCCTCAAAGTGTGTTACCCAGACCAATAGCAGCAACAGCCCCTGGGAATTTGTTAGAAATACAAATTCCTGGGCTTCCCCTAGCCTGCTGTTTGGAAGAGTATGGGCAACAATGTGGGTTTTAACAAACCCTCTAGAAAACTACGTACAAGCTATCCTGCAACACAGAGCATCCTGTCACCCAAAGAGGCAGCCCAGGAGCATGCACTTCTCCAGTGATGGCTCAGCCCCCATGGGGGTGGGAGTGAGCCACAATTCCACATCTGCAGGCAGCGTGGAGGTCAGGTAGATAAGATGGCTTTGTGGAAGGAGATAAGACCCAGGGATCCCTTCAAGGATCATTTCTACTGATTATTAATAAAGCTTACTGGGCAGGTATCTTTCTATACAGTCATGATTTGGATTCTGATGCAGGCAGTGCACTCCAGTCATGCTGGAAGCATAGAACAAGGTTGTTCTAGGTTTCACTGAGGGTGTTACAGGCTCTCTTGGTTAAGAAGGGCTGGAGACAAGCAAGTTTTAGTTTGGTTTAGTGATAAGGAGTTGTGCTGCCCGCCCAAAAGACACAAGGTTTGAATCCATCAGCTGCTCTGCAGGAGAAAGATGGGCAATCAATCTCCTCCCGTGCTATTTACAGCCTCTCAAAATTCACTGGAGGGTCAACTATGGGTCGGTTCTGACTTGACAGAAAAGAGTTTTAGAGTTTGAGTCAAACCTACATCACTTAACCCAGGTTGTAAGCTACCTTGGTCCACGTAGACATCCTGCCTTGCTATACTCCAGCCTGCCTTTAGACCTTTTCTGTGCCATTTCCTGCTCAGAAGCAAACCTGTCTCATTTTCTCTCACTCCCACCTTACAATGTCTTGAGATTTAGTTCAAATACCACCTTCTCCATGAGGTCTGCTTTGAATCACCTTTGCCTAGAACCCTAAGGGAAGGGAATCTCACCAACTCCAGTGCTTCACAGCGTTATACCTCCCACAGTGTGTATCACTCTGCACTGTGTATTTTAACTATAGATGTCTCCCCATTTCTCATTACCCAGCTCACTGTTTGGTGTTCAATACATTTGTCATTTGAGTAAGTAGCCTTTTGGGCTCATCACAGTATTCTCGTACAACCAATGGATAACAAAAAAATGGTAATTAAAAAAACAAACCAAAAAAAAAACAACAAAACAAAACAAAAAAAAAAACAACAAACCAACCCCACTTCTCCTTTCACTTTAAAGAAACTGGATTGACTTTCACAGAATGATGTAATAATACTCTGTCCCGAATATTGTGAGATCCTGAGATCAATGGAGTCCTGGATGTAGTGTCAACCCAGGTCCTTCCTTGGTCCCAGGTTGCCCTGACAAGGGCTAGCTCACACCCTGAGGGGAATCGCTCACCTTGTTATGGCAGGCCTCACCCAATGCCAGCAGCAGGATCCCCTCTGAAAGCTGGGGTTCCTTTTCAGGCCCAGTCTCTGCATCTGAGACACCATCTATTGTTCAAGGGAGGAGATCCACATGCGGTGCTGAGCCTGATGGGTAAAGAGAGGCTTTTCATCTCTCTTGTCCAAGCTGGACTGCTATTAAAAAGTGGATTCCTCTCAAGGGGTCTTGGAGAGACCCATTTGTTTCTAGAAGACATGGATGCCGCTCACTCTTGCTTATTTTCTCAGTTCACAGGCTGAAGCCAGCGGACATCAAGGTCATTGGAGCCCTGGGGGACTCTCTCACGGTAAGTTACCCTAAATGTAGAAAGCGAGGTGGCAGAGAGGATCCTGAGGGGGTATTAGAACCCAAAAAGACAAATGAAGCGAGAGAGAATTCCCACTCATCAAGCATTACCATTGTTGTTCCTGATCCTGATTTCCATTTCTCTCAATCACTTGCCTACCTCCGTCCTAACTTCCTCATTATTTGTGCAGAAAGCAGGCCATGACTGCTAGGAGTGGAGGGGCTCCAGAGGGCGCACCAAAGTGCATAGCCTGTAAATGGTCAGGGCTGGAGTACAGAATCAGACGAGGTCTCAAGACCACAGTATGTTGTTTGTTGTTATGTGCAGTTTGAGTTGCTTGCCACACATAGTGACCCTTGGTACAATAGCCCCGAAACCTGCTCTATCCTGTGCCAACCTTATTGTCTCTGGCATACCTACCCTCATTACCCCAGTCATTGAATCAGTCCATCTCATCGAGGTTCTTCCTGTCTTGCACTGTCCCTCCACCCTTTCAAGCATTATGTCCCTTTCTAATGATGGGTCCCTCCTTGCAACACGTCCAAAGTATATCAGACAGAGCTTCAGAATCCTTGCCTCCAAGGAGCAACCTGATTTCACCTTCTCCAAGACAAATCTGTTTGTACTCCTGGCAGTCCATGGTATATTCAATACTCTTCTCCAGCCCCACAGCTCAAAGGCATCAATTCTCTTTCTATCATCCCTAGTCATTGTCCAGCTTTCTGATGCATAGCAGGTAATTATAAAGACCATAGCCTGTATATCAGGCGCACCTTAGTCTCCAGACTGATGTTGTTGTTCTTCAGTTCCCTGGAGAGGTCCCTGACAACAGACTTTCCCAGTGCAATTCATCTCTTGATTTCCTGGCTGCTTGTACCAAGAGTATTGATTGTGGAGCCAAGCAAACTAAAGCTGTTAGCAAACCTCCAAAGATCTGGTGCTTAGCTTTGTTCATGCAGGAAATGAGTGGAAGGTACCAAGAAGAGCAAAGATGATGCTCTAGACACAAGTGCTGACGTGGCAAAGGGGCATAGAGAGAAAATTAAAAGAGAGGGGAAAAAAATTAAAAAGTGAAGGTAAAAGATGATACAACTCACCTCTGCAGCTGCCCCGTGCTGACACCCAGGCTCCACAGAAAGACTGGGCACTGCGTTGCAGAGGGTTCAGAGTGGACACAAACTTCCTACTCAGTAGCAAAGTACTACAGGCTAGTCCAGCTGTGCTCCCTCAGCCAGTAGGATGCAGGGCCTGCAGCTGGATCCTCCCAGACACCAGACTCTTGTAGTCTGTGCAGGTTTATATTCCCACAGTCAACATCCTTACAACAAAAATCCTATGAAGAATGACTTAGATTGCTTAGATTTAACCAAAAGAGAAGGTGAAGGTGAAGGTGATAGAGGTGAAGGAAGGCCCAGAACCCACAGTTTGTAAGTGCTGGGCCTAGGACCAGAACTCAGAAGTCCACCACTCTATCTGTATGCTCTACAACCCCTCAGTGTACCCTGACCCCAAAGGCCTTGCTGTTCATATACATCAGGACAGGCAGCCTGGTTGTTTTGGCCTTCCATGCTGTTCTCCCAACCACTTCCTGCTGTGTGTGGCTGAGACTCTCTTCCCCCGAGTCCTCTGGTGCCCTTAAACAATGTTCTGGGTCATGAATCTCGGCGTCCCAGGCTTGCCTGGAGACAGGCACTTTGAGTGTGACACACCTGGCAGGTGGCAAAGAAACTGGGCACAGAGGGTAGGAATTTCCCTCTGAGGTCCTCTCCCTGGAGGTCAGCCTTCACTCCCAGGTTGCCTGGGAGACCAGTGGTCAGTGTGACCTATGAAATAGACCTAGAGAAATAACAGGCTTTAAGCAATGGGCATAAGTCTGCTAAGTGGAACTATATCATGATATCATCAATTAACAAGACAGTTTTCTGCACCCGAATAGTGGGTTCATGGGAATTCATTTTATTACTATTTTTAAGCTATGTATGTGTGAGATATTATTTATATAAAAAGATTATGATATACTTTTTTCTCCAAAAAATTCCTTTTTATTATTTTTGTGTATATGTATACCATCAAATCAGATCTGACTGGTACAGGAGGAGATTGTCTCTCCTCCAGCAGAGCATCTGGTGGATTCAAACCACTCACCTCTGGGACTGCAATGCAGCTTCTTGCCACTAGGCCACCAGAGCTCCCCAGTATACTTTTTAAAAAAAATTCATTGTTTAACAACTTTGAAAACGAGAAAATAAGACCTTAAAATATATCCTTTTACAAATAACCACTATAAGTGCTCCTTAGAGGAAGGAAGGTGAGCCTTTAGCTCACATACTTTGGGCATGTTGTCAGGGGGGCCAGTCCTTGGAAGAAGACCTCATGCTAGGAAAGGCAGAAGGTTAGAGAAAGAAAGACCCTCAACAAGATGGACCGACAATGAGCTCGCACATGCCAGAGATGACGAGGATGGTTCAAAGCTGTTGTTAATAGAGCTGTTATAGCTCAGAGTTGACTTGATGTCACCTAACCATGATAGTAGGATTTTCTAGACACTTTTGATATCTTGCTTTCACTTGGTTATGTCCTAGCTTGGGTGTCTTAGAATGAAACAAAGCTGTGGAAAGCCTAGGCATTCCCAGTGGGAACTCTGACCAGCCTCTGAAAAGGCAGGATGCACACAGGACTTGGTGGTATTGCATCTCCAGATTCCACAGCAAGCCCTGGCCAGGACCTCCTAGCAGACAGGCAGAGGGGAGAACACGGGTGAAGCTGAGGAAACTCACCCCCTTGTTGTTCCCTCTCAGGCAGGTAATGGGGCCGGCTCGACGCCTGGAAATGTCTTGGATGTCCTGACTCAGTATCGAGGCCTGTCCTGGAGGTGAGTGCAAGGTGCCCAGGCCCTGGAGACCTCCTTTCATTGCATTATTCTTCAAGCTGAAGAATGAATGAGCCACCAAGTTCAATCTAGAACAAATCCTAAATTTAACTTAGAGATAGTGTTTACCATCTTCCTCAGACTACTGCCTTCCCCAAAACAGGAGCTGAGGAGGAGCAGGATTTGGAGGAGAAACTGCATCCTCATTAGTGTTAGAAACACCTCTTCAGCTTCCATCCCTCTCTTTGTGACAGGAGATCTCAGACAGAAGCAGTGGCCTGAGTGATCAGCAGACTATGACCTGTGGAGCCAGACTTGCGTCGAAGCCCCAGCCACTCAGCTTCATGAGACCTTAGGGACATCAAGCAACTTCTCTGAGCTTTCCTTCTCACTTGTAGTGCAGGGATTGTAATCCTTCAGTGAGGATCAATGATACCAGTTGCTCTGACTCATGGTAGTAACCCCGCGTGTGTAAGAGTAGAAGAACTGTGCTCCATAGAGCTTCCAGTGGCTGTTATTTCACAGAAGCAGATTGGGGACTGGGGGAGGGCGCTAGGAACAGGGAGAAAAAGGCAACAATGAATGAATGGAAATCCAAAGTCTCTGTAAATGTTCATTAAAATTATTTTTTTAAAAAAAAACCCTCATATTTCTAGGCCTTTCTTCCAAGGCGCCTATGGGTGGGTTCAAACCTCCAGCTTCCCAGTTAGTTACCAGGCAAGCCATTGTTTATAGCTCTCAGAACTGTGTAGTAAGGATCAGAGACAATTTAAATACCCATTCCCAGAGCCTGGCACAGACTAAATATGAAGGGCAGCTGACGTCATTAAAGAGACTTCCCTTTCCAGATGATGAAATAAGGCTCAGAGAGGGTTAGTTACTTGTCCAAGATCACACTGATCAGCTGGTGAAAGAGCAAGGAGAGTAAATGCATGGTGACTCCTAATTCAGCGCTTGCCCCCATCATGCCTTGCTCCACGCAGCTTTGCTCCTGTTCACAACTGCACTGGCAGGACGGGAGCTTTTCCTCTGTGTTTTGAAAGTCTGGCTCGTGCCAATCAAGGTGTGAAGTTTTCTCAGCTAGAACGTGGCATCTCCGGTTGGCATCAGCTTTAACCTGAGAACTGCGGCCGGGGCACCCTCCCTCATGTTGTTGCACAGCGCTACCTTCCCCCCTCCCCCAAAACCCCCCCCCACTGGGAAAGCCTCGTAAATGTTCTCAGACGTCCTTGGCACAGAACAACGGCCTCTGGAAAAGCACAGAGCCCAGTCAGCTCTGGAATGCTGCATATTCTCATGCCTAGAAACCACTCGAACTTGGATCTCCCTTTCAGTTTTTGTCTTGGTAGACAGCTTGTTATCTAGAAGATACTCTTTTTAAAGGGGCCTCCTCAAGTCAGAAACAGAAAGAGAAAGATCAGAGAAAACATTTTAATCATATGTCTAATAATAATAATGCAAGCTGCAGCGGCCTGTCAGACTACAGCTTGGCTGTGCTTGCAGAGAGGCACCACTTTCTCTTTTAGAGACAAAAGTGACCAGGCCACTTGGCTTTCCTGCCTCAACATCTGACCTCAGTTACTTCTTTTTTAAAGTAGCAGTTACACTTTTTCGGGCTCGTAGAAAGAAGTGACTGTATTGTGGCAAGTTTTTGCAGTTTTTCGGTTGGAATGAGGAAAGGGCCATTTCCAAACTGAAAAGATTCTTAGGGGGTTTTCTTTGGATTCATCACCCCCACCCCCACCCCCACCCCCGAACAAAGGTCTTTCTTCTTGGTAGTTTCTGAAGTCTTTCGCCTCTCTAATGAAGATTAAAGTTCATCTTTTTTTTTTTTCTTTTCTTTTTCTTTTCCTTCTCCTAAAAACAGCGTCGGTGGAGATCAGAACTTAAGCACCGTGACCACTCTGGCAAGTGAGTACGTGCGCCCGCGATGGTTTAGGAACAAGCTGAAGGCTCTTTCATTTGCTCGTTTCAGCTGCGCCCCCTGGAGGCGGCCTCGGGGTTGGACTGGCGGCAGGCCCACCAGCCCCAGGAGGGGGCGCTGCTTCTCCGAGGTGGCCGCCCTTGCTTTGCTTCTTGGTGATGCAAGACTTTGGAGATCGGCTATTTTTCTTCTTTTAAGAGATACTATATTCCTCTAAGGAAGGATGGAAGAGTAAGGGAGGAAAAGAGAATCCACACCAAATTTTAATACAAATCATTAAGAAATTATTTTTTAAAAAGAAGTAAAGGAAACCCATTTCTGCTTTGCATGTCCTACTGAGCAGAGCATTTATCTGGTGCAGGAGCATCGCTGGGCACGTGTTGTACAAAGATAGTACATTCATGTGTATGGCTTTATGAAACGCTGCTTCTGCAGCTAATTGATGAGGTGACTGCTCAGACTGTGCAAACATAGCCATATTCAGGACTGAAGATTTTCCTTACATTATTTCATCAACAGCCTGTATGAAGTGATTATATATATATATACATGTATACACACACACACACACACACACACACACATTCTCTGAAGGAGCTTGTCTGATTCCTCTCTGTTTTCTCCTTATCATATGCCACTGTGCTTGTTCTTCAAGGACACATGCAATGAATATTTAAATTTAATTATTTTTCCTTAAAAATCTTCTGAGTAACAATTTTGCCTGAGAGGAACTAAATTGATTCCGTCTCAGTTACTTGTGATGCATCTTCAGAAGCAAAGAAATTACGTAAATTGGTTTTGGTGACACCGTACACAGCATGTGCTAACCAAAAGACTTGTGTCTTTAACGGTTCAAATCTTTCAATGGCTCTGAGAGGAAAAAGATGCTAAATCTCCTCCTGTTCATATTTTAGCCTCAGAAACACCAGAGAGGGTCACCATGAGTTGGTATTGACTCAGAGGTAATGGGTTTGGTTTTGGGTTTTGAAAGCCATCAAAACTATGATGGTCCAAAAATGCATCCCAATGCTATTGAGTTGATTTCAAACTATGACAGCCCCATGTGTACAGGCAAGAACTCCTCCAAAAGCTTCGTGGTTGTAATCTTTGTGGAAGCAGACCTTTCTTCCTTGATGCCACTGGGCAGGCTCAAGCCACCACCTTTAGATTAGTACCTGAGTACAAATGATTTGTACAACAGGCCCAGCTTAACCGCCACATGGGCAGAGCTGATCAGACTTCACATTTGTCACCACATTTGCTCTGGTTTTGCTATTTGCAAACCCTGCTGAATTACGTAGGTACAGTTCTGTGCCACAAGTACTCCGTGTCTTCTTTATTTCTAGGTCTACACACAAGAGCTATAAATAAACTCCGCTATTGCTAGGAGATGGTTTGGGAGGCGTTTGAGTGTGACTCATGGGGCTGTGAGGCGGCCCGGCACATACACTGCCTCACTGTGCTAGCCCCCTGCTCTTGCCGAGAACAAGCTGAGTGGAAATCATCAAGCTCAGCATCTTCCACCAAAATGGTCTACAGACGATTGAAATAACAGCCTTCCTTAGGAACAGCGTCTCCTTAGGTGAACTCTCCTGCCTTGGCCCATCAGTGGAAGACTGGTATTCCAGTTTCTAGCTAAAGAGACGTGAAGGCAGCTCCAACTGTAAGGGCTGCATAACCTAGGGGCTAGTAATTCAGATGTGTCGAGGATAAGAATAGTGCAGGACAGGACAGAGTTCACATCTATCGTTCATAGGGTTACTACATGACCCATACTCGAATGCACATGCATCAGAGAGCTGGATAATGCTTAGGGAGAATAGAAGGAAAATTGATACCTTTGAGCTCTGGTGCTGGAGAAGTCTATTGAATATACTGTGGACTGCTAGGAGAACAAATAGGTTCATCCTAAAGAGGGTGAAGCCAGGCTGCTCCTTGGAGGCACGGATTCTGAATCTCTGTCTGACATACTTTGGGCGTATTACAAAGAGGGACCAATCCTTGGAGAGGGAAATCATGAATGGGAGGGTGGAGGGACAGCATAAGAGAGGAAGACCCTCAATGAAATGGATTGATTCAGTGACTGGGGTAATGAGGTTAGGTGTGTTAGAGACAAAAAGGTTGGCACAGGATAGAGCAGGGTTCGGAGCTGTTGTACATCAGGTTGCTATGAGTCACAAATGACTACAAACCTAAAAGTTGGTGGTTCGAGCCTACCAGTGGTGGGAAGGAAGGCCTGACAATCTGCCAAGAGCACTCAGTGAAATTCCACTCTGTCACATGGGGAATGAGTCAGAATCACTTGATGGTAATTCAAGAATAACTGGACGGCTACTCCCTGAAAGATGAGCAGTTTGAACCCTCCAGAGGTATATTGGACGGGACTCTGCACACATGATCTATAGCAAGTCGTTTTACTCACCCAAAGGCCTAGTGGCTGTGGCAGGAGAAAGGCAGCCTCCTCCCATTATGACTTACAGCCTCAGAAACCCAGAGGAGGGTTGCTGTGAGTCAGAGCTGAGCCCACAGCACTGGGTTTGAGTTTCGGAGTCTGAGAGGCACTTTGGGAGAAAGGCCTGCTGATCTACTTCCGGAAGCCATGAAAACCCACAGAGTTCAGTTCTACTCTGATACACATGGAGTTGCCACGAGTTGGAATCAACTCAAAGCCAGATGGTTTGAGTGCTGCTAGTGTGGTGAAGCATGGGCTGGTGGCTGCGCTTGTTATTTCAGCGCTCCATGAAACTTCTGAGGTGGTGGGGTAGGGATGCTGCATTGTTCCCAGCACCCTCAGGAAGGGAACCGGAAGGTGGTTTTAGGGTTGTTCCTGAGCTTGTCTTTGTATTTCCAGACATCCTCCGGGAATTCAACCCTTCCCTGAGGGGTTTCTCTGTTGGCACTGGGAAAGAAAGCAGTTCAGGAGCCGCCTTCAACCAGGCTGTGGCTGGAGACAAAGCTGAGTGAGTAGGAAGGCCTCAGGGACAAACAGCCCAGGGGGGCCTGCCAGGGGTGTGGCTGCAGGACTAGTAGGGTTTGACAAGAGGCGGAGTCTGGGGATCAACAATTGGTCTGGATCTCCTTTACTGTCAGACCCTGCAAATCTGCTGCCCATGGCCTCCAACACTACCCTCACACAACCAACTCTGATGCCCGCTAAAATACATTGACTCATCTATAAATCTCCTCTCCTCATAAGATGTGACTATGGACCACAGCTGACTCTGGGTCCCTGTCACTGTGTTGGTCAGTGGTTCTGTCTTAGAATCCTGCTTCTTAGACATGGCTCTCTGTGTGAACTTTTCAGGCTCCAGACCTTGCCTCCAGCCTGTGTCATGGGATGAGCACCACTCCTGGGAGAGGGGAGGCCTTGAGTTTTCACCCTGCTTCCCCTCTGGCCTCTGTAAGGCTCAGCCTGTAAATGGGTCTGGTTGGGCTGCTCAGATTGGATGTGAGCATTCTGATGAGCTGCAGGTCAGCAATATGCATTTGCTGTGGTCATAGCAGTAACCCAGCAGGACTGCACAAGCCCGACCCACCCACTACAGAAAGCTGCTGGTGAGCCTGGCCCGGATGCCTGAGCGCAGGATGGTCAGCTCTTCCAGCCCCAAGACCTCCGTTTCTCTGCTTTAGGTCTGCTGCGTGTCATGGGATACGTGAATGCCATGCCCAGTCTAGGAAAAACAAATAAAAAGATCCTTCCTGTCCCTTTAGTCTATTTTTTTTCCTTTCAGAATATTTACCAACCCCATTCTGCTGTCAGAGAACGTGGGGCTCCCCCACCCCAGCTGGCTGAGTGTAGAGCCTCCACGTGGCTCCTCCTTTGGTCCCTAGATGCCCGCTAGCGTTCTCCTGGCTGTAGGCACCATCCTGAGGCTACAAGCCACCTGAATAAACTTTGCATTTATCTCCGACAGGAAAGGTGACACATACTTTCTCAAGGCGAGGATCATACCCAACCTAATAATAGTTTTTACAATTTATTCTGTGTGTTGCTTTTTTTTCTCCCCCTCCCCCTTTTGGCAGGCTTGGAATTGGGAGTTTACCAATTTACAATTTAAATTTTACTCATTTTAATGTGACTCTAATTTTGTTTTCCCTAATCATGCATGGCCAACCGTATTAGAGGGAGGTATTTCTAATCATGATTAGCCCAGAAAGGCATCCAAGAATGGAACCTTCACATCCAGAGCACAAAAGCAACCAATGCTGATTGCAATTCATATGACCTTGGATTTCTGCCCTGCTTCCCCCTGGGGACCTGGGGCTCCTTCATGCAAGTGTCCCATTGGTTTAAGCACATCCAGGAATGTAGGACAGAACTGAGGACATTATTCCCATATTATAGCATAAAGAAGCTAAATGTCCTGAGCAGATGCGTGGACTCCACCACATGATCTGTCCTTGTGCACTGCAGGTTTTATTCCTGCACCCCTGATATTTGCACCACAGTGCGTAGTTTATGCAGGGCCTTCCTGGTTTCACCCCGTGTGTTCCATGCCCTAACACTTGGGTGGGCACATCAGGGCTTACATTCTATTTCTCATTAATGATGAAGCTGAGAGCTTTCCCAGTTAACGAGAAACAATTAAACACCCAATCCAGGTGGACAGGACTCGACCAAGTTCTTTATTATTTTTAACTTCTATGTTTATAATGAGTTTATTTATCCTTGTTCAATACAGATGTATTTGTGCACAACCCTATGATTGAACAAGAGATAACACCTAATTCTTGTTTTCAAGGATCTTGAAACCAAATAGATAGAAAGAGCTGAGTAGATAGGGAATCATAATAAATTTGATATGAAATACATTAAAAGTAAATAAAAGGTGAAAAAAGAGCACATCAAAAGATTACCAGATAAATCTAGAGTCGCTGGAGAAGAATGTCCGCTGTTGTTGTTAGGTGCCTTCGAGTCGAGTACTACTCTTCGTAACCTTATGAACAGTGGTTCTGAGCCCTGTCCTAGCCTGAGCCCTCCTCACGTTTCCCAACACACTCAAGCCCGTTGCAGGATTCACTGTGTCAGTCCACCTGATTGAGGGTCTAACTCTCTTTTACTGTCCCTCCACCATGTTTTTTTGAGGGGTAAGGACAGTGAAGTCCCTTGAAGGTGAGGCTCTTACGACAATGGTCACATGTTGAGTTGTGCATGACCTGAAACATGGGGTGCTCACACAGTGACCTGTGTCTTTAGCAAGTCAGGCTTAGAAGGCAGAGTGGCATATAGAAGCCTATGCATCTGTCAAAAGTAACAACACTGACAGTCGTCCCTCAGATGAGCAGTGCTCTACCCTTCTCTAAGTACCTTCCTGCCCTCTATGCCTGCAAGGTGAGGAGAGAGTTCTCTGGGGGTGTCGCCTTCGGTCCTGTGCTCCTGCGACTGCTGGGCCTTCCTGTGATGTGTCTGAATCCTGCTCTCTCTGCTAAGTTACCCCATGCCCTAGGCCTGTAGTCCCCATTCCTCATGTGACCTCCTCCCGTGTGTATCTGCAGGGACTTACCCATCCGGGCCCGGAGGCTGGTGGACCTGATGAAGAATGACACGGTGAGTGTGGCTCATACCACCTGGGAACATTCAGGCTGGGAAGGGAGCAGGCAGGAGGGATCCTTGGAGATCTGGAGTACACCCATGAATGAGGCGAAGAAGGGGAGCCAGCCTGGTTTCTGACAGACACAGCTAAAATGTGAAGCTCTGGAGAAGACATTGTCATTCATGTATTCAGTCATTCATTTGTTCCGACAGCCAGTTTCACAATAAACATTTATCACTGGATTGGGTACAGAGAAAATACTACACAATCCCCGTCCTCAAGGAGCTCATAAGGAGAAGCCAATGTGAAGAATGCAGGTTGTAAGACAGTGGCATGTTGTCATATTGAGAAACCTACTGCCTTGAGCTGGTTCTGATCCATGATGACCCTTGAATCAGATTTAGAAGTCACCACAGAAGGAAGCTGTCTTTCTCCTGTAAAGCAGCTTGTGGATTTGAACCACCAGCCTTTCAGTTAGCTGCCCAATAATTTACCCACTTTGCCACTAGGGCTTCCCTGTACTGTGAAGAGTGCTGTATAACATAGATCATTAGCACAGAGGAAAGTACAAGACATCCTGCTTGCAAAGACCAGGGAAATCTGAGCTGGGTTCTGAGAGGTGAACATCTACCAAATCCTTATGACTGCAGGACCCCAAAGCCAAAAAGAAAAAAGAAAAAAAATACTTGAGCCCATGAAATTCTCTGGGTGGAGGACAATTTCCCCTGGTGATCAGCACTGTGTGTCTCCACTCAGTGGACAAACCGTAGAGATAGTGCAGTCAGTCAAATGAGCTATACGAGCTTCTGGTCTTCCAGTGCATATCAGTATTTGTGCTCGAGCTCTGGCCTAATTGTAAGGAGCTGCACTGCCTACCCTAAGGCACGCTGTTCAAATCCACCAGCTGCTCCACTGGAGAAAGATGGGCAGTCTCCTGTCATGTGATTTACTGCCTCTGAAAATCCACTGGAGGGTCTCACTCCACGGTGCATAACAAGTGTGAAAAAAAAAAAAGCAAGTGTGAGTAATATTAAAAAAGCTTGAAACATTGCCACAGTTACCAGAATGTGATACACAGGAAGTTAGCACAGGCTGCAGGGGAAATGACGCCAATAGACTTGCTCAGTGTAGAGTTGCCAAACCTTCAATTTGTGACTAAAACCTTAGTGGCTGTGACACATGATAAAGCAAAGCACAAGAAAATTAGCTATGCATGTATTTGGCTTTGAGACAAGGTGCTTACTTGTTTGTTTCCTATTCATTTCAGAGGATAAATTTTCAAGAAGATTGGAAGATAATTACCCTGTTTATAGGAGGCAATGATCTCTGTGATTTCTGCAATGACCAGGTAAATTTCCAAGAGCCCTATCTCAAGACTTAGCCCCAGGAAAGCGTTTGCACTGGCATTCACGGAGTAGGAGCAGAAGCAGGGTGAGCCTGGAGTTTCCATTGTCTGGCCTGGACCCAGCCTTGGGTGAACTCTGACACTGCAAAGGGCCTTCAAAGCCAGGAGATTCAACGGGACAAGCTGGACTGGCTTTCCCACTGATCCTGATTAGGTTTCTTATCAAGGGAGCCTAATACCATTCTAGAAACCAGATAACATTCTAATGATCTAGAAGAATCTTGCATATCTCCATAGATTATTAAGTCAGCGCTTTTCTCTGGTCAACAGGCTTTTCATCTCTGCTTTTATGCAGTGACTTGCAGGCACTTGCATGCATTGGGCAAGGTTCGAAGGCGTGCTGTTGGGCTCATGGAAAGTCTGAGAGCAAAGCTGCTGAGGAGGTTGTGGTACTCCTTCCTGGAACCCCACAATCTCTGAGCTGAGGGATATCCCACAGGCCACTGGCACCAGTCCCCCCCACCTACAGATGGAGTCCTGTCCATAGAAGCCAGTTGCTGACTGTCCCCAGTGACTGGGAGGCTTTTAGTTTCAGTGTTTCTTTGAGTTGAGCCCAAATCTGCCCACACCACATTCAGTTTAATTGACTTTAAAAATAAATGAAGTGATGGGCTTGAGCATGTCAGAGATCTTGAGGAAGGATGGTACACACAGGGCTTCAGACCTGTTGTTCATGGGTTGCTATGAGTTATAATTGGCTCGAGGACATCTAACAATAACAACAACAATAGAAATACATTTTATTATTATTTATAAAAGATATTTGTGTGTAATATGTACAAGAAACATATCAAAGGGCAGAAAGAAAAAAATATCCATAATAACCATTGTTAGCATTTTGGTAACATTTGCTAACATTCTCGCAGGTATAGAAAAATTGTTTTACTTTCTAAACATGATTACCATTCTGGAAATACTGTTCAGTAACTTGTTCCTTTTTCATTTAGTAATTAGACATAGAGAAGATAGCATCATGAGAAAGATAGGTTTTTCTGTGAAGTAATTCTTCAAGACACTCTATCAGTCCATAATACAGAAACTCAGAGCTGACCTCTGGTGTCTGTTCTGATTCCCAGCAATGTTCCACTGCATTTCCAAGGCTGTAAATGGCCATGAGAGGAGCCTGCCCCTTTCTTCCTTGGTAGTGCTGATCTGCTGGAGGTGCTAGCCCTTTGGATTAGCAGCTTCACTTTCTATGGCCTACACCACCAGAGCTCCGCAGTCCCTAATACAAATGGGCCATGATTTATTACAGTTAGCCTGACCCAAGCCATGGTATTTCCAGCTGCTTCATATGCATGTGAAAGTGGGATAATTAAGAAGAGACACCAAAGAATCAATGCCTTTGAATTGTAGCATTGGCAAGGAGTATTGACTATGCCATGAACTGTCAAAAGAACGGACAAACTTACCTCAGAAGAAGTGCAGCTGGGGCTCCTTACAGGCAAGGATGGTGAGACTTTGTCTCAGCCTTTGAGCATGCTGACAGGAGGAACCCCTCTTTAGAGAAGGACGTCATACTTGGAAAGATAGAAGGTCAGTGAAGACAAGGAAGACCCTGCAGGAGATGGATTGACACAGTGACTTTATTTATTTTATTTTTTTTTTAATGTGTGTACCATCAAATTGGATCTGACTGGTACAGGAGGCGATTGTTCCTCCTTCTTCAGCAGAGCATCTGGTGGATTTGAAACGCGCACCTCTGGGATTGCAGTACAGTTTCCTGCCACTAGGCCACCAGAGCTCACCCACACAGTGACTTTAGCAATGTGTACAGTGGAAAATGGGAGGATGGTAAGGTCTCAATCGATTGTAATAGAGCTGCTATGAATCAGAGGTGACCTGATGGCACCTAACAACAACATGTCCCATGGTTAAATACTTAGCTTCTAAGTAGTTCTAATTTTCATTACTTTAAGGAACACTAGAGATCAAAAGATTGGATTTGTGCAGTTAATTATTTCTTAATTGCAAATGCCATCTTTAAGAACCACAAGCGGCAGTTATCCACACAGACCTCACCTGATGGGCTACACAGGAAACAGATTGGCTGCATCTGGGGAAAGAATCACTGGAGAAACTCTGTTATCAGCAGTCAAGACCAGCCAGGTGCTGACTGTGGAACAGACCATCAGTTACTCATGTGCAAATTCAAATTGAAGTTGAAGAAAATGAAAACAAGTCCACAAGAATCAAAATGCCATCCCAAATCTATCCCACCTGAATTTAAGGCTCATCTCGAAAATAGGTTTGAGACACAGAACACAAATGATTGAAGACCAGATGAGGTAGGGAATGGCATCAAGGACATCATCCATGAAGAAATAAAATGTCATTTTAAATACAGAGGATTCTTCATTGAAATGACAATGAAGGGCAAAGTCTAAGTTGCATTGATGTCATTGTACAAAAATGAGACCCCAAGAATTGATGGATGATCAATGGACGTATTTCAACAAACAAATACAGCCCTGGGCATGGTGACTAAACTGTGCCAGGAAATTTGGAAGACATCTACCTGGCTAACTTACTGGCATAGCTCCATATTTGTTCCCATTCCCCAAAAAGATAATCCAACAGTATTTGAAAATTACTGAACAATACCATCACTATCACATGCAAGCAAATTCTGGTTGAAGATTATTTTAAAATAGTTAGAACAGTACATTAACAGAGAACTGCCAAAAATTCAAGCCAGATTTAGAATAGGCCATGGTACCAGAGAGATCATTGCTGGTATCAGATGGATTTTGGCTAAAAGCAGAGAATACCAGAAGGATGTTTATTTGTGTCTTATTGACTAAGTAAAGGCATTTGGTAGTGTGGATCTTAACAAATCATGGTTAATATTGAGAAGAATGGGCATCTCAGAACACTAAATTGTGCTCATGCAAAACCTATACCTAGACCAAGATATTGTTCAAACAGAGCAAGGGAACATAGAATGGTTTAAAAATAAGAAAGATGTGTGTCAGGGTTATATCCTTTTTCCATGCCTATTCAATTTGTATGATGAAAAAAAATCATTTGAGAAGGTAGACTCTATGAAGAAGAACGTGGCATCAGAACTGGAAGAAGGCTCATCAACAACTTGCATTATGCAGATGTCACAACCTTGCTTGCTGAAAATAAAAAAGGACCTGAAGCACTTGCTGCAGAAGATCAAGGACCACAGCCTTCAACGGGATTACATTTAAACATCAAGAAAACAAAATTTTAACTACTGAGCCATAAGGCAACATCTTAACAGTTGGAGAAAGAATTGAAGTTGTCAACAATTTCATCTTACTTAGATCCACAATCAACACCATTGGTACCAGCAGTCAAGAAATCAAGACTTACTGCATTAGAAAAGTCTGTGGTCAAGAACCTCTCCAAAGTTCTTGGAAGCAGTAAATGTCAGTTTAAAGACAAAGGTACTGTTGATGCAATTCATGGTCTTTTCAGTCACTACCTGTGTATCTCAAAGCTGGATGATGAATAGGGATGAAAGAAGAAGAAGTAATGCCTTTGAGCTGTGGTGTTGAAGAAGAGCACTGAATACCCCATGGACTGCAAAAAAGAACAAATATATATATCTGGGAGAAAGTGCAACCAGGGTTCTTCTAAGCGGCAACTTCATCTCATATTCTTTGAGCATGTTGTTAGGAAGGGCCAGTCCTTGGGAAAAGACATCATACTTGGTAAGGTGGAGGGTCAGCAAAAGAAAGGAAGACCTTCGATGAGTTAGAGTGACATAGTGACTGCCACCATAGGCTCAAGTGTATCAGAGATGCTAAGAATGGCCCAGGACAGGGCAGAATGTGGATCTGCTGATGACAAGGTCACTATGAGTTGTAATCAACTCCATCGCACCTATCAACAACAGCAGTGATTAACGTCTCTCTTTTTAGGCATCCATATTTATTTTTGAGTCTATAGTCTAAAAAGTAAGATTTTTTTTAGGCAAAAATGCATACTTGTAGTATTTTATTATAAAAAAAGTTCTAAGCATATGGAGAAATGAAAATAACAGAATAATAAACAAAGAAGCCCTGGTGGCACAGGAAGTTACATGTTAGGCTGCCAAAGGAAAGGTGAGTGGCCTTGAAAAATTGATGGTGGGTCACTGTTAGTCAGAATCAACTTAACAGCCTTGAGTTTCGTTTTAGATTTTATGTATGTTGTTAGTTGCCACAGAGTTGAGTACAATTCATAGCAACCCTATGAACAACGGTTCTGATCCCTGTATTATCCTGTGCCAACCTCACTATCTCTGACACATTGCTGCAGTCACTTTGTCAGTCCACCTGGTTGAGGATCTTCCTCTTCTCCTCCATCCTCCACCTTCCCAAGTATGATGTCCTTCTCCAATAAATAGCCTCTTCTAACAACCTCTCCAAAATATGTGAGACAAAGCTTCGCTATCCTTGCTTCCAAGGAGCACTCTGGCTTCATCTTCTCTAAGACATAACTGTCTGTTCTTTTGGCAGTTCATGGGATATTCAGTATTCTCTTCCAACACCACAGTTCAGTCATCAAATTTTTCTTTATCCTTATTCATTGTCCAACTCTCGGATGCATGGCAAGTCTGAATCAGGTGCACCTTAGTCCTCAAACTAACATCATTGATCCTCAGTAATTTGGAGACATCCCTGACTTCTAACTTTCCCAGTGTAATACTTCTCCAGATCTCCTGACTGCTGGTACCAAGTATATCAGTTGTGGATCCCAGTAAGATGAAGTCATTCACAGCCTCAATCTTTTCTCCATCTGTCATGATATTGCCTATCAGTCTGATAGTGAGAATTTTTATTTTCTTGATGTAATCCATATTGAAGGCTGCAGCGTTTGACCTTCTATGGCAAATGTTTCAAGTCTTCCTCACTCTCAACAAGCAAAGTTGTGTCATATGCATACCAAAGGTTATTGATGAGTCTTCCTCCAATCCTGATTTGGGTATA